TATCATTATAACGATGCCACGCAGTTAATTGATTATTGCGGATGTAGGGCGTGAAATATTCTTCGAAACCACTCGAGCATTTGAGATTATGACCGGCAAAGAATTAATGTCATCTAAATTATTTTAACCGATTCCAATGATCACCTTTCGCATGCACAGTTTTTTTTTTACCTCTTTTTAACTTTTAAAAGCACTTTTGACATTAATTTGAATACTAATGGCGTTGAAGCGAGGGATCTGGCATTTACAAATTATTATATCCAATATCCAGAGTCACACGAGATGATGAATGAAAAATATCCGATTTACGTCCGATTTAGTTTTTATAATTTTCGGAATTTTAATATTTGACGAACGCTGAACTTGACCCAGTCGGCTCGCCGCCAACCGAACGTACCTTCTCCCTTCTTGATCGCGACCGCGCGCGAGAAGACAACGAGTCCCATCGGTCGGTGAGACACCTGGAGCACTGAGATGTCGGGACGAACCAGCTGGGAAAGGCATTCACTCCGCTCCGGGAGCGAACTCCCTACCTTGACACCTTGGCCGCGTCGGCAATCGCCGGTTTTACTTATAAATTACCTGGTCACTCGTTCGTCCCGTGAGAGGACCGGTTACGACCGTGCCGGAACGAAGGAACCGGGAGACGAGTCATCGGATATCCCCAAAACGTTCGAAGGTCTACCGGCTGATTGGCCGGTCTGTATTTCCGCAAAAGGATACTGAGCGAGAGCAGAAATCCGCATGGGCGGTGATTCTATAAATTATCTATTATAAATATGCAGATATGATATACGAAAGCGAAGGTCATCCTCGACTATTTCTTCTTTGGATGACAGTTCCCTCTTCGAGAGGAGGAATGGACAAAAACGGATGGATTGAGAGAGAGAGAGAAAGAGCGGGGGGGGGGGAGGTGGGGAGGGAAGAAGAATTAAACATTTATAAAATTTTTCATTCCTCCATTTGAAAAAAATAGTTTACCGTTTGTACCAAATTCTTTAAGTTTGACAACTCTCAGACTTTGACAACTCTCTCAGAGATTAGATAGAATTAAGCTAAATTTCATTTTCACGAGATGAAGATTGATTAGCACTAAATCTCTCGACGATTACCGCGGACATCGGATTTGCATAACGCGGTGAGCGAGCGTAAAAATGAAGTTCAGTTATTCTCAGTCGATATTCATCGATCACCATGCAGTTTCTGCCATACTAATCAGGCCGGTCTTCGCGATGATGACTTTCCGAGTCAATGGGGCGTAACCGACGATCGCTTCGTCTTGAGATCGATTGATGCACTCGGACTGATGCACGGGAAACTGGATGAGTGCAGTGTGTCGCGAGATCCGGTGATGGCACCGTCGATGGCGGTGCCATAAAGAGAGAGAGACAAACGGTTGCAGACAGATTGTTTGCCGAAGGTCGCGAGTCGGATAACGGTCCACCATGGTTAAAGACCTACTTAGGGGCACGGAGCTCGAACTCAATTCGCTTATTTGACCCCCCTGGTGTCGGATACAGGCGGACCCGGCCGACCCGGCGAGATTTGTTTAGCCTCCATAACCGTCGCGAATGGAGACAGGTGCGAATCCTCGTACTTCATGGAACTTCACGACACCGAGATGAGATACCATCCACGTGTATAAAGTTTTTCGCTTTAAAATATCGAACTTTGGATATCGCATA